ATGGATGGATGGATGGATGGATGGATGGATGGATGGATGAAAAGAGTTCAGCGAGGCGAACCAGTGGATCGGAAGTGTCAAGTGCAAAGCACTTGTATGCTCATCCACCTGGAGACTATTGCAAAGCACATGCTCAGAATAAATGATTGAGATCAGCCTCCGACCTGTTTTTCTCTGAGCAATGCTGACCAGAAAAGATGTGTTGAACCAGTGCAGCACTGGCAACACTGCAAAACTTCTCCCTTCTCATACCAGAACAGCTGAAGGACATAGCCCAGGCTTGTGGTATCTTCTGACACACCACTTTCACTTCCTCACTTTCCCTGGAATATAATGGTTAACCAAACTGTCCACCTTTGAGATCTTTTTCGTGGGGTGTCCCCAATTCCCCCCCGAAAGGTAACCTGCAAATGATCCACTGTACTTCCTAGGGGTATCTGCAGCGACATGCAGGCGGATGACTGCTGCCAAGGTCGTTGGTGCAGGCTCACCTGTGACCTGGCACAGGAGGTGGACAGTATCTAAGCTGAAGCTTTAATTCTTTCAGAGCAGAATCTGGGTTGTGGCGAACATGCAAAAACAATCGACACCACAGGGGTTCAATGATGAACACCATCCATCTAGACATTGCCCTTAGATCCCCTGCTAAGGGTTTCATGTGTTTGAAATCCTTTCGTGGTTTCAGCAAGGAACTCCCTTGCAAGCAACCCAAAGGATCCCAGTTACCACTATAACAAGGAACCATGACTTTCAGGTCTGAACCACTGGTTACCAGCGACATCGTGGTTTACCTGGATGCCCTGGGAAACTGGAGCTAGCTCAGGGTCTACAGTTACCTTTATCATCAAATCCTTCCCCAAACCATGCTAGGTTGACATCCCCATGGTAGGTTGAATCTGTTGTAATCTGTTTATTCTCAGGGGTCTCCCCGCAGGGTGCCCAGGTGCCATGCCCCCCCCTCAAGACCTCGACCGCTGCGCTCACTCCGCTCCCCGCTCGCCGCGCTGGCCTCTGTGGAAGGTCTCACACCATGGCCTTCCTCGAGCAAATGCTCCGCGACGCGAGAGCTGCTCGAAGAGAAGGCTAACAAGTACCTGGAGAAGGGCCGCGCTTCATAGACTGATGTAAGAGAAGGCCGAATCATGGTAGGTTACGTTGATGAAATATTGCAATATATGATGTATAGTATGATGTATGCTTTATGACGAAAGATCTGGCGGAATAATGGTGAATGTGCCCCCACGTGTCTGCCACTGGCAGGAAGCTTTGACTTCGTCAAGTGAATTTGCAAGAGACCCCCCGGCATCAAGAATCGATGCAAAAGCTTACAGTCCCTAAGTATTATGGATCCACTGCCACCTTCTCAGAAAGTAATTGGACCCTCCTGGCGCCCACATCAATAGTCTCCGTCCTCACCGTACCTTCGGTATGTGGATCCGGAGTTTTTGCCATGTGTTCACGGCGCAAACGGAGCACTGGGTCTGCAGTCGCCCAAAGAAACCCAAAGAAACCAACTTCAGTCCGTTTCGACTCAAAACGGTGCTCGCTTGGGGTGGTTCGCTTCCGAGGAGTCTTTTGGAGTCTTCATGTTCGGCCATGTTCAGTAGATGTCCAGATTTCTGCTAGCAACAGGACACACCGGCCAAGGTGGGAAAACCGGGTGGCCAAGGAGTCTACATGTTCCGCTGAGTTGGTCATATCTGGGGCTTTGCTGCGGAAGTTCTTCGTCGCGTCGAGGCGACAGAAGAGTCAATGTTTTGACTCAGTGTTCTTTCACTTTTCCGGAAAGCCAACTCCTCACAGTCATTCACGAACATCCTCACATGACCCTCATCCCTTGATTTGAGAACTGTCAAGTGTCATCAATGGTCAAAGCAGTGGCAACATTGGCGGTTCATGATCTGCATCCGTCGCCGACTCCGATAGCGTTTTCCGGCTGCCCCCCAGGAGACAGTCCCGCTGGATCTTTGCAGTAAAGGCCAATCATCTCCTCATCTGCTCGTTTACACCTCGGATCCAGGTCGAAATGTTGACAACACATCAGTATGAAGGTCGTCTGGTCAGTCATCATGGGCGTGGAGGGACCCCAGACTGGATGGTACAGAACAGGGCTGGTACTTCGTTTCGGGGGGTGTACTCTGTTGGGTGCAGTTCTCAGCAAGCCACACAAATAGATACACTCGGAGCCTCGGAGCCTTTTGGAGTCAGTTCTCAGCAAGCTATGCAATTCAGAAAAATACACTCCTCGCACAAACAACTGAAGCTTGGCTGAAGAATGCACCCTCCAAGCAGGAGTCCTCGAGGTATATCAGAGTTGCTTTGAAAGGGTGGAACCAATGCAGGCTCAGTTTTGGTATACATATTATATTTTATTATCGTATCAGTGTGGTGTTCCACTGGTTGATCTATCTACCAGTACCTTAGTACCTTATATAATTAGATCTTATTTCTGCTGGTTGGTGGTTTCAACTCCTCGACAAACATGGACGTGTATGAAGGACGCTTCTCATGGACCACCCGGTGGTTTTCAACGGTTTTTGAGGGGGGGTTATCTAAAAGAAACAGCGACATTGGGGGGCCCCTGTGCCATTGGTCCTTTCAATACATTGACCCATGTTGACCCCTTTTCAATCAATCCACCGCCCCTGGCTGTTTCTCGGGTTTCATGGTCTGTGCCAGGTCTGGCGGTCCTGGACATGCTTCCATGCTTCGCTTCACCCAAACGGGGTGTCGTCCCCCACCCGGATTTCTCCCGCAAAACGATGAAATTGGATCCAAGTGATGGGGTAGGCTTTTCTTTGGACCAGGCGATTTGGGACAGCACTCCAGTTTTGTGCCAGGTGATGGCACTCAAGAATTGCCAAGTCAATCCAAGGACGGTCTCTCCAAAGTGTTTGAGCACGGCCATGCGGAAGAATTCACACCTTCAGAGCTCGGGTTCCTCTACACTCTGAAATCGGGTGTACGTGGAGCACGCACCACCTGTTTAGGGTTTAGGGTCCAGGACCATCCGGTGCTCGGAGGTCCTGAAAGACCCCCCCGGGCAACGACCATTCGACCTGGTTTCGTACCGTACTTACCTGCAACGACCATCCGTTTCGTACGGAGGTACCTGGATCCTATGAGTTTGGTATGAGGAGAACCTCATGAACCTCGGAGTCTTTCGGGGGCCATGCCATCCACTGAAAACCATCGCAGACCAGACCAGGGAGTGTATATACCTTTTGGATATGGATTCTGCTTCCCCTGATTCTTCGGGCTTCTTGCTATACAGCTTCGAACAGAAATACGCCAACCTGCATTCTAAGGTGCAGCTCTGCGATCTGGGCATGGCTCCCTCCCAGGGCTCTCAGCACCAGGAACTGCCACGAGAAACGCCGATCGATTGAGAAAGTGCTTCGTGCGTAACATCCGTGGATCACTGGAAGATCTGGAAGAGCTTCCATGTGTACCAGCTGTTTTGAGAGAATGGGCGTGTATTACGAGAAGGAGTCACAGAAGAAGGCAGCTGAATCTGAGAGGGGTGTACGCTGCACATATCCTCACGGTTTGGTTGCTGTGTCCAAGGAATTTCCATCACTTCTCTATGCAAACCGCTATGGTCGGAAAAAGTGCTACAAGTTTGGTCAAACCCTCATGCTCCAGGAGGTTACCTCCTCAGGTTCGGTATGAACCTCTTGGCACCCTTGGCACCCGCCCCAGTCCCACCGAACCGAAACGAAGGAGGTACGACTGGATCCTCGGCAAGTAACTCACCCTCGGCAGAATGCGGTCCCGTTCGATGCTCTGAACTGGCAGAACCTCAACCTGAAAAGCCTTGACCCAGCTGACTGGGGACCAGGTGCGCCAAGAAGAACCACGTGGCAAAGCAATTCCTCCATTTGAAGTGTTCGGTCTGCAGATGCGAGATGCATGAGCCTTCTTAGTGAGAAGAAGAGTGTGTGACTACTCCGGGACGTGAGTAGTTCCATGAGTCACCTCGCCAGCGCTTGGAGACTTGAGGCGACGGAGACGCCCAGCGCGGCTCAGGGTGCTCCGGTGAAGCCCAGCCCGAACTCGTGACGAGAAGCGATGTGGAGGTTTTTTCGTCGGGTCCCAAGATGGGAATAGCCTTTGGGTCATCCAAATAGGTAGTTCTGTTCTTGGAGTACACAGCATGTTACAGTAAGTTCTGTTAATATGTTGACTCTTCTTTCACTGACATGTATACCTGTATACCCTACAAGTCAATGAGCTCAGGCCACTGGACTTGGTCATACAAAGACCAGGTTAAACCTGGGTCAGACTGGACGTACGTAGGGAAATAGGATCCAAAGCACACTCTAAAGCAACGAATGCAAACCACTGACCAGCTTCTTCAGTGCGTGACCTTTCGAAGGTTCCTCTTCGTGACCCTATAGGAGGCTTAAGTGAGTGCTTAAGTGACCGAACCAATCAGGTTAGCAAGTACGGTCACGCACTGAAGAACCACTTATGCAAACCCTTAGATCCAGGTCTACCGTACGAACTTCCGTCCCTTCGGCGGGTCCAGTCCCGTACGCCTCCGCATTGGGGCCTCGGTGCAGCGTGGGGAAGCGCAGAAGCCCAGGACGGCGATGAAAAGCGCGGCAGAAGGGCAGAAGTAGGACAGAAGAATTTGGGGCCATCACTTCTGCCGAACTTCTTCAGGATAAAAGAATTAATTATAAGTTTCGGCAGAAATGATGGCCCTCCAAGAGGGTCTCTTCATGGCCCTCCTAGGAAGGGTCTATTTTGGGTGTCTTTGTGATGGTATCAACATCGAAAGACACGGACAACTTCTAGATACCCCAACGGGTGTCCAATAGACTACCCTACCCTACTTACAGGTCTCCAGTGGGCACCCATTGGAAGTGCTAGACAGGGACAAACTGGTCATGGAATTACAGCACCTGGCAATGTGCTCATGCCCCGCCATGGACCCACTGAACCCGAATTGGCCGTCCTTTTCTCTCCAAAACGACGATAGGATGGATGGATGTGCTAATCAAACACACTGGTCAGGTAAAATCACATCTGCCATGGTGGCCAATGGATTTGCTCCACACACTGAGGCCAATAATTCTCCATGAGGCAGGACCAGTCGAAGACTGGGAAGGCCAATGCTCAATTCCTGGGCAATGTGTGTGTGTGAGTGTCCCAAGCTCGATCATGCCCAAGTACCTTCAAGTGTAGCACTTCATGCCCGGCCAGATCCGAGCATGTCAGCATGATTTCATCATCTTCACAAACCCAATTCAGTTGGAAAACAAGGTCTCTGCCAAATGGGGAAATGTAGTGATTCCCAGGCTCCAAGGGTGGAATGTTGCATTGTCCTTCTTCATTGTCTCCGCAGGCGACGGCACTACCATCACTTCGGAGCAGCACTGTATGATTCCAGACTGCAGAAACCCAGGTGTATGACAATCCAGCCTGCAATGGAGGAATATCGCATTGTCCAATAGAAGTCCTTCCACAAGCCACAGCGTTGCCATCACTTCGGAGAAGCACAGTATGTTCCCCACCTGCAGAAAGCTGGGTGTAAAACATCCCTTCCTCCAGAGGTGGAATATCACACCATCCAGCAACAATCGATCCGCAGCCAGCAGCATGTCCATCAAGTCGCAGAAGCACTGTATGAAAGCAGCCTGCAGAAACCTGGGTGTAAGAGATTCCTTTCTCCAAAGCTGGAATGTCACATTGTCCATCACTGTTCGA